TTGCAAATGAGTGATGTTATATGGACCGATTCTCCCATGGTGGCGGCCAGACTAGGGCTTGGTCTTGAGGCTGGGGCACCATTTGCCATGCTAACCTCCTTTTTTTCCTACTTAGGAAGGTGAGGATTGCATTTTGTCAATTTCCCCAGGAAGCGCAGTAAGGCAGGACACGACGGGACCTGGGTGAGCTGAATCCTGCTCGCAAGTGCTCACTCTTTGTCTAAGCAGTTGTGGGCACTGAACTGTTTCCCTCACCTCCATTCTTCAATCTTGTTACACACATATGGCCTTAGTCAACCCTGGGGTCCTTTATTTGATTTTTCTTTCTTTGTGTTGTGTATATGTGCGTGGTGTATGCTTGCGCATACTCATGGACGTGTGTGTGTGTGTGTGTGTGTGTGTGTGTGTGTGTGACTATGTGTATGTGTGTACTTGCTAGTGCATGTGCATGTGTGGAATTACTCTTCACATATTATTATTATTATTACTATTATTATCATTATTGAGACAGGGCTTTCTTACACAACCTAGAACTCATCATTTTGCCTAAATTGGCTGGTTGGCAAATGCCAGGACTCTGCCTGTCTCCGTCTGTCCAGGGCTAGACCACTGTCCACAGTCCTTACCTAGATGCTGGGGATCCAAAATCAGGTCCCCATGCTTGTACAACAAGCAGTCTACCCACTGAGCCACAACCCACCCCACCCCCAGTCTTTAAAGTCCTTTCTACCCTTAAATATTTGTTAATGATTTTCCTGCTGTTGGAAATACGGCCAACTAAAGTGCTTCCCATAGGAAATCACCCATTGAACCTGTCACTGGTGAGTTTTAAAGAATCACTGGGGCTGGCAAGATGCTCAGTGGAGAAAAGCACTTTCTCTGCAAGCCAAAAGACCTGAGCTTGAGTCCTAGGACCCAGGGCTGAAGGAGAGAAACCACTCTTGCTAGTTTTACCCTGATCTCCACACAACTGCGGTGGCGTGCATATGTACATGCACACACACACATGCACAGAACATAATGAAGAAAATATGTTCTTTAAAGAAAACTTCAACTCTGGAATCTCAGCCCAGATCCATAGCACTTGTAGGATCTGAACATGAAAAAAAAGGTTTCCCAGACAACTCATGCACTAAGTTATTGCTTTTAAATTGATCTGTCTGTCTGTTGATCTCCCTCTGGTCTTGAATCCATGATCCCCCAGCCTCAACCTCCCTATGGCTGGGATTACAGGGGTGTGCCACTTTGTTCTCTTCAGTCTGTGGAGGACCAGTGCCAACAGCTTCTGCTAACTCTTCCAGATTAAGAGAACCTAATGGATGCTGAAGATACTAAATAGAGAGAGGCTGAGTGAATAGGAGAATTAAGTTCTTTTCTGGATTCCTGGGTGTTCAGTTCACCTGGCTGGGGCTGTGAATTGCAATTTGTAGCTGGAGAGCTTCTTTTCAGGTCCCACCAAGCCCCGGAAGTCCGACAGCCCACTTATAAAATAAACACACAGACACTTATATTATTTAAACTGTTTGGCCTAATGGCTCAGGCTTCTTGTTAACTGTTCTTATATTTTAAATTAACCCATTTCTATAAATCTATACCTTGCCACGTGGCTCGTGGCTTACCGGCATCTTCATGTGCTGCTTGTCATGGCAGCGGCTGGCAGTGTCTCTCTGCCTCAGCCTTCCACTTCCCAGAATTCTCCTCTCTTTGTCCCGCTTATACTTCCTGCCTGGCTACTGGCCAATCAGCATTTTATTTATACAGAGTGATATCCACAGCAAAGAAGTTTGGGGGTTTCCATTAGCTGTGAGGCTGAATACTCAATCGAGTCCCTCATTCAATCTTACAGTAGTTCTCAGGACTTACTATTTCCTTTAATCAATTAGTTGATTATTTAATATTTTGAGGCAGGGTCTCACTACATAGGCCTAGCTGGCCTGGAACTTGCTATGTAGACCAGGCTGGCCTCACAGAGCTCTGCCTACTTCGGCCTCCTGAATACTGGGATTGAAGGTGTGTGCTACCACACTTGGTTACTCTCTTAAGTTATGTATGAGCAAAATAGCAAAATGTTCAGTAAAATATGACTGTGAAAGAATAAACAGAGGAAGGGCAGGAGAGAAGAGAAAGAAAGTCTTTGGCACAAGACCCATATAATATTATGCTTTGAAACCAGTTGGCCTATTCCAACCTGCGTCTTTTATTTCCTCCTAATTGTTATGTTCACAAAGCCCGTGGCCATCTCTCTCCCCATAGGGTTGTGTGAACAACGCCAGTGTTTCCCAGGAGTGGAATGAGGGAAGGCTAGCTCCATCTTCGTTTCGTCATAGTTGGTCCTGCCTTCCAGGCAGGTTTGAGGCAAAATCAACCAGAGGAGGCAAATTTTAAGAAGGAAGCAGAAGAAAGGCAAGCAGACCTGGAAGTTGGAGAGGCACTCCTTAAGGAAAGTGGCTTGGAAAAAGTGTGGACAGTCCCATGGCCATGGCTTGCTATATACCAGTCCTGGAGTGTTTATAAGCTGAACGCCATTGCAGGATAAAACTATTAGTTAGGGAAGTGTGTGTGTGTGTGTGTGTGTGTGTGTGTGTTGTGCAGGGGTACTGTATGCATGGTTGTGTATGCACACATGCAGAAGCCAGAGGAAAACCTCGGGTATAGTTTCTCGGTTACCATTCCCTTTTGTAATTTATTGCTGGTTCTGAGAGAAGCAGCTCCCATTGGCCTACAACTAACCAAGTAAACCAGGCGTGCTGGCCAGTGAGCCCTAGGGATCTTCCTGGCTCCACATCCTCAGTTCTGGGATTACAAGAGTACTGTGCCTGGCTTTTTTATGTGGGTTCTGGAAATCAAACTCAGGTCTTAATGCTTGCAAGGCAAGTATTTTACTGACTGAGCTGTCTCCTCCGTCCCCAGATGTGTGTTTTTGATGAACACAGCTGGACTTTGCTTTAGGAGTTCTTGCCCCTCTATTTATTGCTACCAATAAAAAACTTATCTTGCCTAGTGTTCAAAACTTGCCTCTGAAGAGGAGGATGCACATTCTATTACCGGCCATAGAGGGGAAATAGTGTGCGCATTAAACAAGCATCTTTATCCATGGTTGCTCTGTGGTACGGGCAGAGTTTGTGGGCTTAGCTTCAGTCTTAATTGGCCAGCATTCGGGACTCAAGGATATATACATCTAAACCCCACTTTCTTATTTTTTTTTATTATTATTGTTGTATGTGCTCATTGTGACACAAAAGGACATTTCCCTATAGTGAATATTGTATGTAGAGTTTAGCCTCTCCCCCATGTCCTCTATCCTTCAGGGCTATATTTTCAAACCGGTGACAACTTGAAAACACAGGGCAGTGTGCAAGGGTCTGAATGCAAATGACCCCAGATGAGCTCTGTCTGTGTGGGTGACGTCAGTTTTTTCACACGCTCCCTGGACAGAGCCTCTCCACCCCACATTCCTTCTGCACTGATTGACATCCAAAAAGGAAATGCTTTCTTTCTAAAAAGAACACTGAGAAAGCGAAGGGAACCGGTCAATGCAATAGAGGGGCTGCCAGGCCACATGGCCGCTGCTCCGCTCTCCCCCACTGCCTCCTCATTGGCATGGACCTGAGCAGAATTGAGAGGATGATAATCATCATTTCTGAGGACACTGGCAAGGGGCAGAGACAGGCAGATCTCTGAATCTAAGGACAGCCTGGTCTAGGTAGTGAGTCCCAGGACAACCAGGAATTCTGTCTGGGGGTAGCATGAGCAGCACACTGGGCCCAGTGCGAACCAACCCATTTAACCAGGTGTGACCAACTCACAGCCTGGAGGTCATATGTGACCTGCAGGAGAGCTATTAATGTGCCCAAACCAAAATCATAAACTCAAAACGAGTTCTTTTGTAAATTGAATGAATGGTTCTTGTTTTGTTTTGATGTGAAAACAAAAAGTATCTGTGTATATGTATCTGTGTGGAGATATGCACACATGCATGTGTGTCTCCTTGGAAGCAAGAAGAGGACAATGGATACCCTCCAGCTGGAATCACAGGCCATTGTGAGCTGCCAGATGTGGCTTCTGGGAACTAACTTTTGTTCCTCTGTAAGAGCAGCTCAGACCTTTCACTGTGCAGCCATTTTGCTAGCCCTGGAGGAACAACTCTAGAGGATGAACTGTGTGGATGACAATGTCTACAATGTCCCAAGGTTAGGCAGACCCACAGCCTTTCCACATAGCTGGAATAAGAGGTTTTCCTCCCTTAGAATAGAAGACAGAGCATGGCCAAGGGCATTTACATTCTGCTCCGATCTGTTTGCTGTTGCACTGAATACTCCCAGACTCACCTGGTTAGAAATCGGACACTGGAAGGGAGCCTACTTCTGCAGCTCTGGCTAAGCCTGCACTCTGTCCAGCTGAAGCCTCTCTCTTCTGACCTCGCTGATTTTCAATCTACTCTTTTTTTTTTTTTTTCTTTTTTTTTTTTTTTTTTTTTTTTTTTGGGGATGTCAAGTCAGACATCCCCAAGCATCCTCTGAACTCCTTTGTTGGCTACCATTGGCTCAATTTTTGGAAGTTTTTCAGAAGCTTCCTTATCTGCAAGGTAGATAGCCCAGGATGCTTCCATTCAAACTTGTCTTCCCCTCTCAAAGATCAGTCTTCCATCATAGCTCCATCCACAATGTCTTTCACAGGGACATATCCCATTCTAATAGTTTTCCATGTTTCATTAAGAACACAAATGAAGTTGATATTTGATATGGAGGGAACAACATTTTTTTTTTTTTCCTTTTTTTTTTTTTTTTTATTAATTTATTTTGCAATACAATTCAGTTCTACATATCAGCCACGGATTCCCTTGTTCTCCCCCCTCCCGTCCCCCTCACCTTCCCCTCAACACCCCCCCCCCATTCCCATCTCCTCCAGGGCAAAGCCTTCCCCACAGACTGAGGTTAACCTGGTAGACTCAGTCCAGGTAGGTCTAGTCCCCTCCTCCCAGGCCGAAAAGTCTCATCTGCCCCCGTGCCGGGGAGAGGAAGGTGGAGTCTGAGGTCCATAAAGCCCTTAGGAGAGGCTGCAAAATCAGCATGTGAAAAAAAGAGGGTTGACAAAGGGAAAGCTGGAAAACTCCCCTGGCTGAGGCCGACTAAGCCTGGCCTCTGAGACAGCCACAAAGGCATGCTAGAGTGTAAAATTGACTCATGCCACTAAGGCACACAGCCCTGGATGGAGAGTTGAGATGCCGAGATAAGTGATGCTTGGGGGTAGGTGTAGAAGTACAGTAACGGATAATGCCAAGGAGAATGCTAAACTATGTAAATGAACCCCAAACACTACACTGAGTAACATAAAAGCCCCCACTCTGTGCAGCAGGGACTTTGTTCTAGCCTCGTTCCTCCTGTAGAAATGTATCCTTTTCTAACAAGCTGCCCCTGCTTCTGCCACAGCCATGTGTCTCTGCTCGACTTCTTGTTCAAGGACACAAGACTCCGGGACCCCTTCAGAGGCGCCCACATGTCTAACCTCCTGAAGAGGACTTCCACACCTCCTGGTGTCCCTTCCAAATGGCCTGACTGGAAGGAATGAATACACCTTGAAGAGACACCTGTGACCCCCTCTTTGGCTACCAGAAGAGTGAAACAGTGGACAGCAGGAAGTTGGAATTTCCTGCTGTAGGAAGAGAAGATTGAAGTCCTGAGGAGAGCCAGGGAGGCGCTTGACCGCTGGAGAAGATTGACAGCTTGTCAGTTGACCTGACAGGAGTGACTGACTTTGCTAGAAGAACTTGGAGCTGAAACGACATTGGCTCCGTCATCGATACCACACCCCACCAGACTGCTCCTTTAGGCACATTCCTCAGTTACTCGGGTCTCTTTAAACCTTCCGCTCACATCAAATGCTGAAGATGGGTTTAGGGGGTCCCGGATCTCTTCCCAGTGTCACCATATCAAACACACCTCCTTTGTTTGCTCTTGATTATTCATTCGGCTTTTATGGCTGTCTTTCTTGAGAAGAGGTAGCTGAACCTGGCTTGATGGGGTGCAGACTGTGACACCTCCACTCTACAGCAGCTCTGAGCATTGACACGAACTAATCCTTGTGCTCTGTCTGTATTTAGACATCTGTCCCTCTACTATCTACAAGGGAATCTGGGTGCTACTGGCCTGACTAATCTAACTCCAGCTCTGGGTTGAAAACTAAGAATGTGCCTTTAGCCACTGGTAATATGAGCAGAGTTTTTGGGTAAAAGCCAGGCTCTCGCAGCCCTCACAGGCTTGTCTGCAACCCCCATCCCCAAGACCTAACATGCCACAGAGAGCGACAGGGGAAAGGTTCAGCTGGGCTCTTTGGGGAGAACGGATGAAAGTGTCCAGTGAAGCACAAAGTCTGTTTTTGGGGGTACCGGCATGAGTTTTATCTTTAAATAGTAGAAGAATTGGGACAGGGGACAAGAAGCATGGAGCACTTACCAGTTCTGGCTAAGATGTGGTCTGCTGAACGCTGTCTCAGCTCTGGCTCCATAAGGTGGCCTGTCTACATCTTTATTGCTTGAAGGGGCAATCTAGTTCTCAGGAAATGACTGTCTCTCGGGGCTGCAGCCTCCCGATCATGGCTCATAGTTCTTATCTACAGATGGTCCGTCCTGTTAGTTTTGCTACCCTTGGAATCCAAAGTGATGGCAGGAGTAGGAGACTGAAGACCTTCAGGTCCCTCTGAGTGTCTGGAATCATAAAAAGCCAACAGTAAAGTCCTTCCTTCCTTCCTTCCTCCCTCCCTCCCTCCCTCCCTCCCTCCCTCCCTCCCTCCCTCCCTCCCTCCCTCCCTCCTCCCCTCTCTCTCCCTCTTTCTTTCTTTCCTTATTTCTATTTTAAGGCTCAGTGATTTGTTTTTTTTGATAGTTTCATATATTTGTATGATGAATTTTTGTCATTTTCAAGCCCCATACCCCTCCCTCCCCCTCCTCCCTCCCCCACTAAACTCATCTTCTCAGTGAGGCCCCTCTTCCTTTCATACCTTGTTTTTGTGTGTAGCTCTCACTGAGTTAATTAGAGCTATTTGCCTGAGCGTGGGTGGAGCATTATCAGTGGAACAAGGGCAGCTTATCAGTGAAGGTAGTGCCACCCCCAACGTCATTGACTGCAGACGACCTCTCTCAAGAGGGGTAGGGCCTCATGGCCCCTCCTTCACCAAGGATGAAACACTGATGGATCCAACCCAAGGCAAGTCTTGTGCAGGTAACCAGAGCTCCAGTGGGTTCATGGCGGCAAATGGCCATGTCCAGAAGACAAATGCTTGCCACACTTCTCTTCTCTTATCACCCCCTGCCCTCTTTTCTAGGATTTTCTCGGAGCCTGGGTGATGGTACTATAGCCATCTCAGGCGGAGTATCCCGACATCATTAATTCTCAGCACTTTGGCTCCAATAGGACACTTCTCTGATGAAGCTTATGCGGAACTAATCTCTAATGGGAAGCCAGAGCTGAGGCCGGAGCCCACTGGGTACTCTCATTACTCTTACTATTATGCTTTCAGAGGAATAAAACTGGCGAGGTACCCTGGTTTCTAGATCCATGCTTCCTTCCATGGCTGCATGCAGCAGTAAGCAGGTGACCCAAATTCAAAGAGACAGGTGCAAAATGAAGGTCAACATTCATTCTGCTGTGAGGAGTCAATGCTTTTCAGGAAAAATAAAAAGACTCGAAATGCCTGCCATGGCAGCGTGGAGGGTTAAAGGATAAGGGTTAGAGCCAAAGTTCTGAGTGTGATCAGATACAATATGGACTTCAGGAACAGGGCACATTGTCAGTGTGTGTTAGTGAACAGCCATTGGCACAGTCCCTGAGCCTTGCATATCCCTTCAGCCTTAGATCCTTCACACGGTCTGTGTCGATGGAGCAGATTCATTCATGAAGTCCCGGGGTAGAGGAGTCAACAGCAGCTATTCCTGTCTGCCTCTGGGTCAGGCCACTGCTGGCCTTGGCTTTAACATTGTGGTTTAATAATTAGAAGAGCAGGGGCTGGAGAGATGGCTCAGCAGTTAAGAAACCGTGCTGCTCTTGCCGAGCATCTAAGTTTTGCTTCAGCTCCCACACTGGCCAGCTCTGTAACTTCAGCTCCGGAGGATCCCACGACCCCTTGTGGACTCCTCGGGCACTGCACTCAGGCGAACAGATACGTACATAGACACATGCATAGACACATAACTAAAAATAAAATAAACCTTAAAAACAATCAAAAGAGGGAGAGCCCAACAGACAGACAGACAACCTTCCAGAACATCATTTTTTTTTTATCCTGACATTCTCAAAGAACCGGATGAGAAAAAGGAGCTTCGCTTCCCTTTCTAGAAGCCCAAAGTCTGGCTCCGGTTTTCTTTAGCAGCTGACTTTGTCAGGCTTACTCCAATAGAACAGCCTTTTGTGTATTTTTTCCCTGCCAAATCCCCTTGGCCCCTGAACTAAAGCAAACTCCAGTGAATGTTATTGTTGAATAACTCCCTGCGTGTTTACGATATGTATGGCTTTCTCTGGCTGACCTCTCAGAGGGGACTGCTGCCCAGCCAGGGACTCAGTTCGAGTGACAGGGGATGAGGACTGATAGACCATCCAGCCTAGCAGAGCAGGGCGGGTCTGAGAGACACAAGGAAGGAATATGATCACAAAACATCCGGAGAAACGGGAGCTGATGGAAACCGGCCGCGGCGGTTTCGAGAGGGGCAGATTTTGTTTGACAAATGCCATGGGGAGCAAACCGAGAGAGAGAAGGGAAGAAGAGGGCTATGAGACAGCGGACATAAATGAGCAGCGTTTCCAGAAGGCCTTTGACGAAGCGTTGCTCAACAGGCTCACAGGTTGGGTAATACTTCTGGGCTGCCCTCAAGGGTAAGCCTTAGCCACTGCAATAAAGAGCTGGAGTCAAGTGGTAATTATCCCTTTTCTTTTCCTAAGGGCATACTCTTAAATCTTCAGTTATTACCCACTTGGGTAGCACAAGCAGAGCCAGGCAGCACCATGGAGCTGAAGTCCCCTGGCTTTCTCGACAAGGGGTTGAGTGTGACACGGTGACTGTCTTGGAAAGGTAGCCTTGGTGCTTGACCAAGACCACTGGCACTGATGAAAGAGATTTCCAGTTAATGGTCAGCCATCTATGGCCCACAGGCCAATTCCACCAGTGTTGGTAGATAAAATTTTATTGAACTGCAGCTATACCCATTTGGTGACATGTTGCCTGTGGTTCAGTTGTCACTGAGATCATAGAACTGAATGGCTGGAATGGTGGCCCACAAAGCCTGAAATATTTAGTATTCATTTGCATGGAAAGTTTGCCAATCCTGGCCCTGGGAGACAGCTCAGTGGATAAATCGCTTGCCTCTCAAGCGTGAGGACCTGAGTTTAAGTTCTGGAACCTACGTAAAAAAAGTCAGGCATGGAGGTACACACTTGTAATCTTAGCTCTGGGTAAGCAGAGACAGAGTGACCCCTGGGCCTTGTGGACCAGCCGTCCTGGCCTAATTGCTGAGCTTCAAGCCAGTGAGAGATACAGGCTCAAGGAGGTTGATGAAGATGATACCTAAGGTCATCTGGTTTACACACACACACACACACACACACACACACACACACACACACACACACACAACTGTCTTTTGCTCAACTCTCTTTTCTTTTCTCCATGACACATGACATCATCAGAATTTCTTATCCAATTATTCACTTCTATTTTCACTCCTTCCTGCGACTACCAGTGGAGGTCCTGGCAGGCAGGAGTCTTGCACGTGCTATTTTTCACTAGGCACCCCGAAGTGCATAGCATATGGCAGCTCTTCAGTCACGAGCCACTGCATGCACGAGGGGACAAAATCTTGTGTATAGAGAGAAAGTGAGGTAAATGGTGTGCTTTCTTCTCTGTTGCTGTGACAAAGCACTCCGAAGAAGGGACTTACTTCATCTTATACTTCCAGGTCACAGTTCATCACTGAAGGAAGTCAGGCAGAAAGTTGAAAACAGAAATGGTGGAGAATGCTGCTTACTGGATTGCTTATAGCCTCGTATTTAGCATATATATATATATATATATATATATATATATATATATATATATATATATGGCCCAGGGTCACCTGACTAGGTCTAGTGTCCCCCACAGCGGGCTTGGCCCTCTTGTTTCAATCAACAATTAAGATGATCCCTTACAGCCATGCTATGTCTGACTTTGACTGCCTTTAGCTCCAGCCCAATGCCACTTGACCTGCATTCACCAGTGACACTCGGGGGCCTCCTGCCAGTAGAATTTGTCACTTAGAGAGGACTTTGAAAATTAAACAACTAGATCTGATTTTTTTTTTTCTGTTTCTCTACTTGAAGAATGACCTCAACATGTCATACGATCACTTGGCTTCATTTCTTTGGTTTAACTTACCCCTTTAAGTAAAAAAGGAGATGACTTACAAAGTCCAAGGAGGGTAATTCCCTGTCATTTATCAAGAACTTTTTCTTTCGTCAAAACAAACCATTAACATTCCGAGCTGGTCACTTATTTATATTCCAAGAACGGATAGTCAGAAAAAGCCACTGCTAACACATTCAGGGGCTGCCGTGTGGCGTCTTAAGTAACTCTTGAAAAAAAGAACTTGGAGTTGGAATTCTTCCTCCAAACTAGCCTTGTTAAGTTCCCACAACTGAGGTAGACAGAAAGTAAATCCAGAGAGCACTCATAAATAGAAATGGCTGTTAAACCTTTCAGTGGGGGTGATTTCGAGTTAAAGATGTGAGATATTAGCACAAAGGCTTTGGCAACCTCACCACAGCTGTGTCATGACTTTAATTTAGCAAGAATTAATTGTGGGTTTAAGATGTTTTATACTTTAATGAGCAAATGGAACATAGCCTTGGGTGTGTTTTATTACCCTGCTTGTGCTTTGTATTTCAACACAGTCTTGGAAAATGTAGGAGACAAGCTATGCATTTTTACAAGTGTGTGTCTCACCCGGAGCCAACAAGTACTAGAATGGACATTGAGAGATGTGGTATTTTGATGCAGTCATTTTCAAAATGGCATGTTTAAATCATAGGGTAAAGGGTTGGAGAAATGGCTTAGCAGCTAATTAAGAGTACTGGCCACTCTTCCTGAGTACCAGGGTTCAATTCTCAGCACCCATATGATGGCTCACAACTGTCTAAATCTTCAATTCCATGGGATCAAATATCTTCTTCTGGCCTCCACTGGTACCAGGCATACATGTGGTCCACAAACATACATGAAGGCAAAACACTCATACCCATAAAAATGCATTTAAAAATTATAGAGCAAATGAATCTTGGATTAGTGTTTTCTCACCTTCCTCTCCTCCCATTTTTTTTTTTTTTAGGTCTCTTATAGCCTAGACTGGACTCAAATTCACTATGTAGTTGAGGATGGCCTTGAACTTCCTATCTTGTCTCTGCCTCCCAAGAAGTGGGATCACAGGTGTATACCACCATGCTCCTTCTTTTCTTAGAAGTAAATCTAAGGAGCTATGAACCAAAAGCACGTGCTTTGGTAATGAGAAGGTTTTGTAAGGTGATTGGGAGATTTTCATTCATACTGTACTGTGGTCTGTTTGTATCCCACCCCACACCACAGATTCATGGGTTGAAAGACGGACTCTTGGATCGTGGTGGCACACACATTTAATCCCAGCACTTGGGAAGCAGTGACAGGTAGATCTGGTCTACAGAGTGAGTTCCAAGATAGCCAGGGTTACACAAAGACATCTTGTCTTGAAAACAAAACAAAACAAAAAAAAAGAGAAAGACTGAATCATGATCTTCATTGAGACATGAAGAGGTGGAGCCTTTGGAAGGGGGTCAGGTGATGGATGGAATTAGTACCTGGATTAGTTATTTTTCTCAATCCTGTGACAAAATTCCTGACCCAGGCAACTTACGGTAGGAAGGGTTTTCTTTGTCTCACAGTTTGAGTATAGTGCATTATGGGGCTGGGGAGGCAAGAGGCAGCTGGTCTCAGAGAATCTGAAGTCAGGAAGCAGAGATGCATGCTGGTGCTCAGCTCACTTTCTCCTTTTTATTCAGCCCAGGACCCCGACCCATGGGATGCTGCTGCCCGTGGTTACAGAGGGTCTTTTCTGACTCATTTCTGGAAACAGCCTCATAGACACACCTAGAAGTGTTGTTTCCATGGTGACTCCAAGTCCCATCAAGTCGATATTCAAGATTAGCCATCATAATGTCCTCATACAAGGTCCCAGAGAGCTCTCTAGCCGTCTCTGTTCTGAAAAGATAATGAGAAAGTGTTGTTTATGAATGACCAAGTGGGCCCTCTGCAGACACCAAACCTGCTAGAGCCTTGATCCTGAACTTCCCAACCTTCAGAACCATGAAACATGGGTCTAGTGTCTACAAGCCTCCCACCTGTGATGCTGAGATCAAGAGCCACTGGGAGGGCACTGGTGAACAGCAGCTTTGATTCTGAGAACTGAAGGGCACAGGCTGGCTTCCAGAGACTCAGACGTCTGTGGCACCTCAGTGAGTAATTGTTGTGCTCAAACATTGGGATTTCCACATCTCTCTGGAAGCTCCCAGGCAAAGGTCTCACCTCTACACTCACATCCATCCCTGAATTAGCATGAGTGAGCTGTTCTGGTCTCAGCAGCACTGGGGGATTTCTGATACACTTGCCAGCTTGAGCCTGGATTCCCAGAAGAGAGGAACATTGTCATAGTTTCATTTCTGTGGCTGTGATAAGATACTCTGACAAAAATCAATTTGGGAGAGAAAGGGGTTTATTTCAGCTACAGACCACCACAGTGGGAAATGGAGGCAAGAACTTGAAAAGCCAGTCCCATCACATCCCCAGCAAGATCAGAGAGAAGTGAATGCAGTGTGCTCTCTCCCTCGCTTGCTTGTTTGTCGCTGGTCTTCTCCACTCACATAGTCAGAACTCTCTTGGGAATGGTGCTGCCAGCCACGGACTGGGTCTTCCCGCATTAATTAATGTAATTAAGACAATCCCCTTCAGACATTCCCATAGGCAACACACGGTAGCCCATCTTTAATTGGAACTCTTTTCCCAGGTGATTCCATCTTGTCTCAAGTTGACAATGAAATCATCTCAAGTGTCAGTTACGGCAGTGGCAGTCATGGTAGCTGAGACCAACAGAGAGTAGTAAGGTACCAGGCACCACACAAAGCCCTTGACTTCGGCCTACAGAGCGTATGGGGCTCAACCAACCATCCCCTTCATCATGCAGGCAGGCCAATCAAAGCTGAGAAGGGCCACAGCCCGAGCTCAGAGACCTGCATGGCGGAGCTGGGCTGGAAGTTCAGACAACTGACTCGCAAGGGTTGCAGGTTTCTATAGACCAGAGGGCTCTCCTGGGCTGCCTGCTTCCTCAGATGCGTGAGTTATGGAGAGTTTCCAACTGCTGGAAATTATATAACTCAGTTGTCTAAGATACAAAGGGACATTTCTGAATCCTTTGAAAAATTGAGATAGAATGTGTTCCTTCAGATTTAGGCTTTTTTTTTTTTTTTTTTTTTTTTGGTTTTTCGAGACAGGGTTTCTCTGTGTAGCTTTGCGCCTGTCCTGGAACTCACTTGGTAGCCCAGGCTGGCCTCGAACTCACAGAGATCCGCCTGGCTCTGCCTCCCGAGTGCTGGGATTAAAGGGGTGCGCCACCACCGCCCGGCTTTTTTTTTTTTTTTTTTTTTTTTTATAAAAAATTGCAGCAGTTGCCGGGCGGTGGTGGCGCACGCCTTTAATCCCAGCACTCGGGAGGCAGAGCCAGGCGGATCTCTGTGAGTTGGAGGCCAGCCTGGTCTCCAAAGCGAGTTCCAGGAAAGGCGCAAAGCTACACAGAGAAACCCTGTCTCGAAAAAAACCAAAAAAAAAAAAAATTGCAGCAGTCATAATGCTTACTATAAAAATGTAAACTTAAATAATCATAGTAAGTGAACTTTCTCTTTCTTACTTTGTTTTTTTACTTCCTTACCGTGCTTCTTTTCATCCAATCCATGTAAGCCCAATTCTATTTCTCAGATTTTAACACAGATCAATTTTGAATCTACCTCTTTATCTACATACATATGTATCTACATGTACACACATGTATACATGCACAGCAAACACAGGCACACACTTATATTCATACTGCATGCCACACACATACATATGCATGCATATATATGCACATACTTATGATATACATGCATGTACACCATGCACATTTGCACAGACACACTAATGACGTACACATATGTAACAGGGTCTTTCTTTGTACCGCCAGCTCCCAAAAAATGACACAGAGACTTCCTGTTAATTATGAAAGCCTGGCCTTAGCTTAGGCTTGTTCCCAACTAGCTCTTAAAACAGAAATTAAACCATTTTTACTAATCTACAGTCTGCCACGTGGCTCGTTACCTCTGCTCAGTACCATGTGTCCCATTTCCTCCATGTCTGACTGACACATCCCCACCTCTCAGATTCTTCCCCCCAGTTCCTCCCTCTCGCCAGAAGTCCCGCCTATCCTCTGCTGCCCAGCTCTTAGTCATTCAGCTCTTTATTAAACCAATCAGAAGATTCCTTAGACAGGTGAGGTAAAACACAGACACATCTTCACAGTGTACAAAAAGATTACCCCACAACACAATATGTACATGTGTAAACATTCCTGTGTTCACACAGTGGTGTGATTGAACATCCACACATACTAGAACACCTCTGGGCAGCGGTAAATGGACAGCCTTTGAGGAAGATCTCCTGGAATCCAATCATGACTCTTCCATTTATGAACCATATGGTTTTGTGGTAGTGATTTCTCCATGCCATCTAATCCTTCTTGGTGAACTAGAGATAATGACGTCACAGGTTAGGTCCAGGTTATATAAGATAATAACTAGAGCAGTTAGAACAGAAAGGTACATGGGAACCCTTCATGTGCCATATCTTTGTACGTGTGTGTGTACACGCTGTATTCGTTACTTTTCTCCGCGCCGTCCTTGACAGGATGGAGGGATCTGCTTTGCTCACGGCTTCGGCGGGTTGAGTCCATCACCACGGAGCCGCTCATACCGTGATGGAACGGAAGCAAATGAAAGGGAAAGCAGGCACTCTGTCTCATTTCCTTTACTTGATTCCCAAAGGTCCCACAGCCTGCTGGACGGTGCCTCTCACCTCCAGGGCGGCTTCCCCTGTCCGGAAGCTCCCTCACAGACACACTCACACACCAGTCTCCTAGGCTGCTCCATCCTGTCCAACTGACCATGAATACTAACTGTTACACACATATCAATGCAATGCAAGTTGCTGTATAAATCCTTTCGTGTCTTGGACTTTTGATTTAACAATGTACTACTTCAGTAATACAAAGCTGCTTTTAAAAAGTACCCCATATTACATCACCCCCACATCACCTGCTGACAGATTTTTATGTGGGTCTATTTTTCACGCATATAAACAATGCTACCATAAATTGCTAGGTACGTAAATCTGTATGCATTTGTCTGAGCATTGCCATGGGATAAATTTCTGAACCCAGAATAGCTGATGACAATGTATGCACACTTAACATGTTGGTGGAAACTCCCGAAGGGCCCTCCCCATGGGCCACATAAATTATAATTAAGAATGCCAAGACTGAATGTGTCTACTTCTCCAGAATCTTGTCAACACTAATTACAAAGACATTTTAAAATCCTTATCAGATTGTGAAAGGGGAAACCTCTTACTATTGTTTTAATTACAGTTCTTTGATTCAAAGTAAACCTAAGCTTATTTAATGAATGAAACGATGATTCCTGTTCTCTGAATCAGTCCTAATCTTTCACCTATCTTTTCTCATGAATATTTTTTAAAAGCCAATTGTTTCTCTTTTTTTCTTTTTAGAGGGTATTCTAGTTTCCTTTCTGTTGCTATGATAAAAAGCAAAAAGCAGCTTGTGGTAAGATGGGCTTTATTTCAGTTTACGATTCCAGGCTATCACCCACCATTATTAGGAAGTCAAGGCAGGAACTTGAAACAGCTGCCCCTCACATCTACAGTCCAGAGCAGAGAGGAAGTGAATGCACATGTGTGTGCTTGCTTGTTCTCAGCATTTCTTCATTTTTATAAGCCCCGGACTCTCTGCCTAGGGATTGGTGTCACCCACAGTAGGCTGGGTGTTCCCACATCAATTAACTTAATTAAGTCAATCTGTTGTTAGGGACACACAATGGGACAACTCGATCTAGACAATCTTTCATCAAGGCTTTCTTCTCAGGTGATAAAAATTGTTTCAAATGGACAAATCTAACCATCACAGACAGGCTTGTTTCTAGGACCAGGAAGAGGACCCATAGTGCTAGGCAGCACTGTACCACTGAGCTACATCCTTGGTCTCACATTGATTTCATTTATTTTCAACATATTTCTTTATTGATTCTTTGGAAATTTCACATCATGCACCCCAATCCCACTCACCTCCCAGTCCCTCCATATCTGCCTCTCACCCTTACAGTGTGCTCCCCCCAGTTAATGAAAAACAAAACAAAACAACCAAAAAAAAAAACCCACCTTGCTCCTCCATCTTTCCAACACCTCTTCCTTCATCCTAGTGGTGTCTGGAGCTGTGGCATGTCACACAGTACACCCCTTCTGTCCTATCAGCTGCACCTGCAAGATGTTCATTGCGATAGTTGCTGGTCTAGTTCAAGGCCTCCGGTTTCTGGTCCACCATGGTCAATGGGTTGGGCCCTCATGTCCTGTTGTTGCCCCGAGTCATGGAGATTCTGTAGTTGTCAACCTGTGGGACCAGTCCCTTTGCGTACTCCAGCAGGTCAAAGATGGGGAGGGATATTTTTATATAGTGAGGATTTTACTAGCTAAGTATAATGGCACACACCTTCGATCCAGCACCCAAGAGGCAGAGGTAGGTGTATCTCTGTCCAGCCTGGTCTACAAGGGAATTGTAGGCCATCTGGGACTTTAGACATCTTGTCTAAAAAGTAATTTTTTTAGTGAAAATAAAAAGAAAAACAATTTTTCTTCCTTACTAGTCATTTATGCTAAGCAATTTCTCAATTTTGTTGATATTTTAATATTTATCTTTTAGGAATTTGAAATTCTTGCACAGTAAGCCTATGAATCTTTTCCTTTTTATGCTGTAAATTCTCTCATTTCAAATTTATAGAGTATCATTTTTCTCCTTAGTAGTTTTTGTTTTTATGTTAAAGTGTATGTACGCCAAATGTAAGAGTGCTGTGTGAACTGGGGCACGTGGCAGGAAATTTAATTTT